CCCCTCCCTAATTAAGAACCCCCTCCCTAATTAAGGACCCTGCCCTAATTAAGACCCTTCCCAATTTAAGGCCTGTCCCAATTTCCTGACCCCCGCCCTAATTAAGAGACCCCTGCGTCATTAATGACCCTGCCCTAATTAGCGACCCTTCCCCAATTAATTGACCTTCTCCTAATTAAGTGCCCTCGCCCTACATAGGGACCCCTGCCCAATTAAACGACCCCTCCCTAATTAAGAGACCCCTCCCCAATTTCAGGACCCCTCCCTAATTAATAACCCTGCCCCAATTAAGGATCTCTCCCTAATTAAGCAACCCCCCTCCCCAATTTAAGGCCTGTCCCTAATTAAGGCTCCCTCTCCAATTAAGGACCCCTCCCTAATTAAGGCCCCCTCCATAAACAAGGAGCCCCGTCTAATTAAGGACCCCTCCCTAATTAATCACCCCCTCCCCAATTTTAGGACCTCTGCCTAATTAATGACCTCTCTCTAATTAAGCAACCCCATCCCAGTTAATTGTGTCCTCTTTAATTAATAGATCCCCTCCCTAATTAAGAGACCCTTCCCCAATTTAGCGTCCCCTCTGTAATTAAAGACCCTGCCCTAATTAGGGACTTTTTCCCAATTAAATGACCCCTCCCTAATTAAGCGACCCCTCCCCAATTAAGGACCCATCCCAATTAAATGACCCCTCCCTAATTAATCACCTTTCTCCAATTTAGCACCCTCTCCCTAATTTAAGGCCTGACCTTAATTAATGACCCCTCGGTAATTAATGATCCCTTCCCTAATTAAGGACCACTCCCCAATTAAGGCTCCATCCTTAATTAAGCTCCACCTCCCTAATTAAATGCCCCCTTCCTAAATAATGACGTCTCCCCAATTAACGACCCCTCCCCAATTAATGACCCCTCCCTAATTAAGCACCCTCCTCCCTAATTAATGACCCCCCAATTAATGGTCACCCCAGTTAATGACCCCTCTGTAATTAGCGATCCTGCTCTAATTAATGACCCCCCCAATTAATGACCTTCGCCAATTAATGGCCCCTAAATTAAAGACCCCTCTGTAATTAATAACCCGTCCCCAATTAATGACCCCAACTATTGATGACCTCTAATTAGTGACCCACATAATTAATAACCCCTCTCTAATTAATGACCCACCAATTCATGACCCCCCAATTAATGACCCTGCCCCAATTAATGACCCCCAATTAATGATAATCCCAATTAATGACCTCCCCAATTATTGACCCCCCCAATTAGTGACCCCTGTCTACCCCCCCACCCCCCAATTAATGACTCCTCCCCCCCTAATGATCCCCCAATTAATGACCCCCCCAATTA